TCCTCCGCCTCAGCATCAGTATCCACTATCCAGTATCCCGTCTTCCCACTCTCTGTAAAAAAACAGACTCACTGAAACCCAAGAGATCGACCATTAGTTGCGTCTTCTTCAACTGGGCCTCCGCCGCCAATAAAAATAATCAATATTTTCACGTTTTGTTTGCTTGCATCCATATCTTCTTTAAGCGAAAGATTTGTTCAACTTCTTTACACTTATTAATTAACATTTGGTGGTATATAATTTGTAGGTGACAATGTGAATTGATGGTCATTTGAGATGTACTTCCAGAAAAAGAAATCCAAGATTGTGACGCACGTACTTCTTAGATATGTGAATGTTTATGCTTATTTTTCTCTTTAAACTTCAGCTGAAACATTAGTAAATGAACTTTTTTATAAGTAACTCAAAAAGATTGTTTATATTCTTAGTTTTCTCATCCAGGTACAGATACGAAAATCTGTCAACGGCTTCCTTAATTTGTCCTTTTAAGTATGGAAACCATTTTTCTGTTATTCATCAATGTAGTTTCAATAAAAGGGTGAAGGTACTCTGTTTCGACTTCAAATTTAGTTTAATGAAAATAACTATATTCATATCTTTGGTGGTTTTCAGGTTTAATATGTTGTGGGGGGGAAGAAGAAGGGGGTTGGTACAACAAATTTTGGGTTTTTATGGTTTATAGATCTATTAATTGTTAATATTATTATTGTCATTCTGTTTTTTAGGGTTTGCAAGGGTCATTGGTTGCGGTTTTGTTGCTTCTTTGGGTTGAGATGCCTGTTGCTTGAAATGGTGATAATGTTCGTTGATTTAGTTGATAAGGGAACAAGGATAAAATACCCCATGAATGGTTTAAACTGTTACTTTTGGTTTTATAACCTCTATTTGAGTCTTGTAGCTTGCTTAATGTCTGAGTTTTGTGTTGGTACTTGGTATTGTGTTACTTACTACATTCATATATTAACACTTTTTTAATTAAGAACTAAGTATGAGTCTCTTTTTAGTGAAATGCCTGTTTGCAATCCAGTGATTTATAATGGTTGGCTCTTCACCAATGACTTTTTTAGCATTTCGTTTAAGTATACTTTTCCCAAATAGGACCTGCAAACAAAATCAGATTGTGTTTCATTTCATGTATATTACTTAAGCTTCTTATTGGGTCTTTGTATTGATTTTAATGAAAAAGTTCTATGGTCAGTGAACTGTAAGATACACTATAGCTCGAAGGTGGTACCTGTGGCCATCAACAAAGCACATTTGCAGGACTTTTGTACCATCTTTTATCGGGGTTTTAAAATAAGGCTGCAGAACTTTTTTTTACATGTGAGGATCTTAAGGTAACGTTGTAATATGTGGTGGTTTGACTATGTTTCCTGTTATTAGGAAATCATTGCTCTTGCTCCTATATGTTTGAAAATCAAGTTGGATGCACCCCTATAAAGAAGTACAATGTCTGGATTTCAGGACCAAATCTTGCTTCATTAAGTACCTTCCAACAGGTAAATTTAAAAACAATTTTTTTATTCTTAATGATCAATTTTTCCATAAAACTGAGTTGGTTTGTATGGACGTCTTAAATCGGCTATCCAAAGTTTCATACCTCTTGGCACTTGGTGGCTTTTATATGGCATTTCGATTGACTTTTTTACCAAAACCCAAATTAGTGTTATAGTCTTTTTGTTGTCCAGGGTTAGAAGGAAAAGACACGTGAGGTGGTTGAGCATATGAGTCACGAAGACATCTGCAGGAAGTTAATGAAAGACATACTGTAAAAGACATAAATGCCCTTCTTAGTTTCTTGATCGTACGTGTGTAAGTAGTATTGCAACCTGGTCACATAATCTTTTTTTTATAAGATCATACCCTAAAAATGTTATTCAATTTATATCATGAGTTTTTATTTCATGTCATACTAACTAACGGAATGGTTATCTATTCAATGATGTTCATCAATAAACAGAACAAAAGATTACAATGCATTTAAATTTTAATTGTATGAAATATGCATAAGCTTAAATATTCTAATAATACTAATATTACACTTTGAAAGAAAGATTAATACCACCATCAACTGGTTCCATAAACAAGCATTTGTGGGGTCTAAATGACAGGAGGCGTTTGTTGGAAATCATAAAATGGTCTTGAAATTAAAAAAACAATGTTATTAGTATGCAAAATAATGGTATTCTTTTTGGAGAATAATGATTTCTTTAGGTGAAATGATGTGATGTTCTTTCCTTCTATTTAACACCATGCAATGATACATCTCACATTTGACAAGTGAATCCTCCTGATATTGTAGGAGAGCTAATGTAGAGATATATTGATTTTGTCGAGTATGTGTTACGGATTCTTATTTTTTCACCTTTTGTGAATGCAGTAAACGAGATTTTTATTGGTTGAAAAAACACTTTGTCCAAAAATTCATGTTTGTTTAGCTTTGAACTTATATTTTTTAATTATCTTCAATTGTTATATAATTATTAATTGCATCATAGAGAGTGTTAAGAAGCAAAATTTGAAAAGATTTTCATTTATAATTTGACATGAGCATTAAATGTTATTTTTTTCGTATTTCATGGCCTTGTAACAAATTAATAATGAAATGTTTGAGATTTTTCGAATTTAGGATATATTTTTTTTTGTAAAAACAGAACTTATTGCGGTCAACCAACTTTAATAATTAACCAAAACAACTACATAATTCAATTTTAAACCAAAACAACATGTGTTTATATGTTGCATCACTTAACTTTCCCGAACACACTAAACCCCGATACATTGTTTGACGGAAAATAATACATTGTTCATCGGAGTACATTGAGTTCAAACTTTAATATGACATGTTTTCTAAAACAAACTAATTGATCATTTAAAACTATTCATTGCTAGCTGAACTAACTGTATTTGGAAGCGAATTTCTACAAAAAAAAAAAAAAAAAAAAAAAAAAAAAAACAATTAACACATGTTGCTTGGTGCGGGTAATATATATATATAAGAAAAACAAAAATACATAAGGGTAAAATGATCTTTTTAATTGAACATTCTGTGTGTAGTGCAATTTCTGAAGGGAATAGGACTTGTTAAGGTAATTAACTTTTCGGGTTTTTCACATATAGGTAACTATCTTTTTTTTGTACACATCTAGGTAACAAACTTTTTAGAACTGTTCACATAGGACCATTATGATCTGCTGTAGCAGGTTACATCCAGCTACAGCAGGTCATAATGGTTATATGTGAACATTTTCATCAAGTTCGTTACCTAGATTTGTACAAAAGAAATAGTTACCTAAATATGAACAAAACCAAAAGTAAGAGTAAATTACATGAATGGTCCCTATGGTATAGGGGAATTTGTGCATTTGGTTCCTAACTTATTCTTTTTAACTCGGATGGTCTCTACTGTTTATATTTGTTGCACGCTTAGTCATTGTCTTACCTAAAAAGACTATTATGCCCTTATTAATTTATTTTTTTAATTAATTTTCTTATTTATGTTTTTTTATATGTTTAAAAAAATTAATAGACCCCACATATTTGTATCTCCTCACCGTAAATCTGAAACCACATTTGAGAAATTTAATTTGGGTCCCACCGGTCACCATCCCATCTCACATCCTCTTCAACCTCTATTTTCTTTCAATCTTTAGTGACATGAAAGTCTTCACCATCCTTGTTTTTGGTCCTTCAACTCTGACGAACAAACATCATAACCCACGGTCTCTTCACTTTATTGGGTTGTGGTGTTGGTTCGCTGAAGTTGAAGGACCGAAAAAGAATAGATGGTCAAGACTTCGTTGTCATTAAATATGGAAAAGAAATAAAAGTTTAGGATGATGAAAGATAGGATGGTAAGGATATATATATATATATATATATATATATATATATATATATATATATATATATATATATATATATGAGGTCTATTAGTTTTTTTAAACATATAAAAAAAATACATAAATAAGAAAATTAATTTAAAAAAATTAAATTAATAAGTACACACTAGTCTTTTTAGTTAAGACATGGACCAAACGCAACAAAACAAAACAGTAAGGACCATCCGAATTAAAAAAATAAGTTAGGGATCAAACACATAAATTCTCCCAAACCACACGGACCATTCGTGTAATTTACTCTTACTTTTGGTTTTGTTCATATTTGGGTAACTATTTTTCTTTTGTACACATCTAGGTAACGAACTTGTTGAAAGTGTTCACATGTAACCATTATGAGCTACTGTAGCCGGAGGTAACCTGCTACAACAGATCATAATGGTCATATGTGAACAGTTTCAAAAAGTTTGTTACCTAGATGTTTACAAAAAAAAGATAGTTACCTAGATGTAAACAAACCGAAAAGTTAATTACCTTAATTAGTCTTATTTCCATTTCTGAAAGTGAGAATCTAACCAAACCACAATGACTAAAACTGTAATTTACTAACATTTTTGAACTTTCAAACTTTATAAAGATTTTCAACTATCTTTTCTGAAAATGGTAAGAGTTTGGAATTTCAAATTTGTCCAAAAAAAAATCTAGTCTTGTTATTAGTAAATTTACTGGTGTTTTTTCTTTTTTAAAATTTTTGAACTTTGGAACTTTATGATAGTTTTCCAGGTCTAGCCACAGAGTATTCAGCAAATTAAAAGTCGTCATTAAGTTAAGACTTAAGAGGTGCCATTAGAGACCACGACCACAAGACAGTTTCAAGTCAATAACATGTAACATGTGAGCTGCAAAGAGTGATCACAAGTTCCAACCTGTTTTACATTTTCAAATTTGAATATGAAGTATTTTTTTAAAAAGAATAAATCAGAGAAGAAATGCAACCACCAATTTTTTCTAGAATTATCTTTAACAAATAGAGAATTTCCAAACATGATTTCACAAATTCTAGTTAATATATATATATATATATATATATATATATATATATATATATATATATATATATATATATATATATATATATATATATATATATATATATAACAGGAGAGAGAGAGAGAGAGAGAGAGAGAGAGAGAGAGAGTTGTGTTTGAGTAAAAGTTACGGAAAATCACATAGGACGACAATAATTGAGTTAAAGAATAACAAGGGCGAAGATTAAGAAGAATGAGTTTGAATTATACAATATCAAAGGGCTTCTTTAAGATTAAAGGTTGTTGAAATATGGCGTGCATGATCATATTGATTGAGTTCAACCAGCATCTTCTTCAACCTGCGAGCAAACACTCCATCTGTCTCTCCTTGCCGCCTCTTCTCCAATGTTCTTCCAAGAACCACCAAATAATCCACCAAGGGTTGCAACCGCAGGCTGCACCCACAAAATGAAAATGTTGTCACACCAAAACCAAAAACATTTTCGAATTAACATATATGTATATATATATATATATATATATATATATATATATATATACCTGCGGTCAGCAGCAGCGGTAACAGTTGGACCTGTCCAGACACCAGACATGGAGGCGACAAGTCTTTCAGCCCTTGTGATGGCGTCATGAATATTGGACTGAATGCTTCGAAGATGAGGGAGAATTTTTCCACTCAAAAGCTCATCAAGAGCAAGCCTTTCAATAATGGAGGTTGATAAAACATTATTCCATAAACATATGTTTTTCATTAAGCGTACAGACATTCCAAATCTATATGCTGCAAATCGAGCTGCATTTGGTACTGCCTTTAGCACCACAGAATTCCATGTGGGGACCTGTTTTGTTTGTTAAACATCCAACCCAATCAATTAATTTTGTGCATTAAAACCAAATGAAAATGAAAACCATACAGCTTTAAAAAAAAAAAAAAAAAAAAAAAAAAAATTAAAATACCATGAGATCAGCGACGGCATGAGAGAGGCGGTCACGGAGAACAGCAACAAGGTCAGTGACGGGCTTACTGGAAAGGGGGACGTATCTAAACACCAGATTTGTAGCAGAAACAGCATTTTTTGTCTCCATTGTACTCAAGGTATCCCAACACTGCCCTATCTCATGCTGTAATATAGGAATCGCAACCTTTTCAATCAGATCAGGTACAAGGTTCACATCTGCATCATCCGGGTCAATTTTACTTTCCTCCTCCGGTTGACCGTAATTGAACAGCAATTCATGCCTGAAAACATACATACATATTAAAATTTTAAAAATATTAGATGAAAGAAAATAGTCGTTTTGCATTACAGTAATTAACAAAAGGAAGAGAATAATTATTCTTTTTTTTTTTATTTAACTGTTTTTTATGAATCAATCCGATGACATGACCTATTGACCATTTGACCATTTGACCTTGCCAGCAGCAGATTACTCACCCACTTAACTCAACTGCTGGGCTATTCATCTGTCTTTTCAAGAAGCATGTACATGTACGTACCACTGCATATCAATAAAATCTGAATCTTGATGAAGTGGGTCCCACTTCAAAAGCTCCAACCTTACATAAGGAGAGAAGATGGCAGGTATACTCAACGACATGTATGCATCTTGGTAGCTAGATGCATACTCCTTTTTCCAAATTTCAAATCTTTCTTTAACAGATGAAAGCTGAGAGAAATTTTCATCCGCGTCGCTAAAAATCTGTCCCGCAATTTGAAGCAACTGATCGCGGTTGGATTCGTAAGCAGCCCTACTCTCACTATCGCTCTCATCCGTGCTGGATTCCCCTTCTACTAAATGGGAATCGGAATCAGGATCCATGGATTGGATTCTTTTGGAATCCGATCGGGCTTTCCGCCGTTGTCGTGATTCCGCCCTTCGTTTTATGTCCATACGCTTTTGTAGATTGATGTCACGCCCGAATTCGTCCAACTTCACCGGAAGGTTTCGTAATTCCTGGGAGACAGTTAATTCAACCATGGAATTTGTGTTTCCACCTTTATTGAAGACCACCATTGCTGCATTCACTGATGCTTCCGCCTCCATTAATTCATCGCTGCTATCAGCTGCTCTTCTTTCAAAAATGGCTTCTGCGCGTTCTTTGTGAAGTTTCTGCATTTGGTATTCCAGCTCCTCGATGAACGGAGCTTTATCCTGAAATACCAAAATTCCTAAATTATAAATTTCTATCTGTTAGCAAACGAATAAAATCAAGCTAAGCTTACCTGCAAAAACTCACATATAGCAGAAACATAGTCGCGAAGCTTTTGCATAAAGATGAACTTCTCACCGGTGACTGTAAGAGCATTTTCAAGAGCTATAACTTTGGCCAATGAGTCTGACAACTTTTCATCAGTTTTTGTCAATGAAGTTAATGTCCGTCCATGAGTTTCCTGACAAGACATATTCTGAATTATCACCCCCACCCCACATGTACATGTTTGTATCTTAAATTTTGAACAATTAATATGAATGAATTAGCTGTTTTTTATTAATTTGAATAAAATTTGATTTTTAAACGAATCAAAAGCTTGGCTGGCTGGGGGTAAAAAAAAAAAAAACAAACAAACAAACAAATGGATCCATCTGCAGCTTATATGACATCAAATTGGTAACTTAGAGATTGAGGCAGTTTAGTTGATTTATGCCAGCATTTGTATGGTTATTACTTTTTTTTCTTTCTTTGCTTGCTTGCTTGCTCAATTAGTAAAGAGAGGGCTACTACCTACATAGAAGAAAGGAAGTAGTGTATAATGCTAATTTCTGTTTCTACAACTGTTTACCTTAACATTTGAGATGCAAGTAGTGTATGTATGATAATTGATAAGATAGAAAACAGAAACACACCTTAAGCCTACGAACACTCTCATGCAAGGCTTTCTTAGAAAGCTCAGCCTGTTGTGATATGGATATTGTATCGGAACCTGATGACCATCCCCCAATACTTGGACCACCATTAATTGAGGGATATGAAGCAACTGGAACAGTTGGATACACAACTTTTTTCTGAACATTTTGAGCAACGGTTGGAATACTGCTGCTACTACCCATACCTCTAACTGCCACCCCTTCATCCATCCTTTTACCTAAACCTTTTCTAAACTGTTCCTCTTCCCACATCTTATCCTCCTCGTCTTCTTCATCTACAACACCCTCATCACTGCCATCACCTTCTGAATTCTCCTTTCTCACATCAACAACAACATCCTCAAAAACACCCTTTTTAGCCTCACTTTTCTCCCCAATCAAGGCAATTCTTCCTTGAAATTCAGGCTCCTCATCACTCAGACCTTCGGCTTCACCATGATTACTCCCTCCATCCAATGCTATGTAATCAGGAGCAGCAGCCCGTGATTGTCGCAATCTCTCCCTCTTTGCCCTAATTGCATCTATCATGGCTTGATCCGGTATCAAGCCCCCATCTAAATTTCCCCCTTTTCCACCTAATCCTATCCTATTTGATTCTTCATCGTCTCCTTTTGTATTCTTTAATGAATCCTCAACAACCGGCTTCACCATACCTTTTAACACAATAATCGGTTCAGATGGTGGTGGCCGAGGGCGAGGGGTGCTGCTACCTAGGGTTTTGGTGTTCTTTTGTAATTCAAGGAGCGCTTCTTTCGTGTAAACGCCGGCTTGTGGCTGTACGTTAGAGGGAAGATACGAAGCCGAACCTCTGTCTTTCGCGGATGTTAGTTTGTGACTTGACGATGATGACAGAGATGAGGGTTTTGATAAACGGGAAGAACTAGGATGTTTATTTTGACTAGAAGGGCGGTTTCGAGAGATCGGAGTAGCGATGTCCGTAGATTCGTCATCCGCAAAGCTAAGGAGACTAGGTTTCTTAGGTTTTGGAGTGGCTGTGGCGGGTTTTGATTGTGGTTTTTTGCTGATGGTGGTGGTGGTTTTTTCTTTATCTTCATCGTCGTTGTCATCCTCCTCTGCTCGACGACGGAAGTTTCTTACTCTGCTGCTGCTCATGGCGGCCGCGGCAGTCGTGGGGGAGGACGATGGTAATAGTACCCTAGAGACGTCGGACCGAGCCTTGTGTGAATAACTAATACTACTACTCAAACCTCTAACTCTAACTGCAACACCTTCCGAGTTTAGTACCCAAAATAATTTAGGGCATACATGATAGTATATGTCGAATCACGCCGGGCACGAATATATAACTCCTGTAGACAAGCCCGTGAAGAACCGAAACGTTAACAGGATGGGAGACGTGGGGGAGGACGCTATCGGTGATATGGAGATCTTACCTATTCACCGGGGATGTTATTGGTAACGGTGATTCTTTGAGAGAACACCGAGGGCAGGGAACCCTAGATGTGGAAGTCGTGAATTTGAAAAGAAGCGACTTCGAACCATAGCTCTATTTTATATATTTTCCTTATTTGCTATTTAATATAGTCGTGAGTTAAAAAGGAAGCGATTTCATTTGTTTTATTTATTTTTCTGATTTGTGATTTAATAATGAGAAGGTAAACAGAAGACAAGTTGTGCAGTTATGCTTTTTTGTATGGTAAAATCAATTTTTTTTTAAGACTACATCCAGAGATCTAAGGGATATAGCATTGTTATTCTAATAAGGAGCTTCACCACATCCGGCGCAAGAAAACCAAACGTATCAAATGCAAATTGTATGAACACGTGTTGATTTTCTATGCACGGTTTCTCATATTTGGTGACCTTGCATGTAACAGCTTTTAATGCAACATGTCCCGCCATGAAACCCTTAGTCCTTAAGCCTACGAGAGGGGATACCCCCGTAACATCCACACATACGCGTTCCCCTCCAACCCATCCAAAAATCAAAACGTCAGTCGGTCTAAGGGTTGACCTTCCTTCTGTCGAATCAGTCAGAAAATTCACAGCAGCCTCTTTCTTAGCGGAAACCCCTAGGGATGTCAACGGGGGCAAACGGGACGGGGATTGCATCCCCCGCCCCCGCCCCCAAAATTTTCCCATTCCCCCGCCCCCGAAATCTCCATCCTTTCCACCCGCCCCCATCCCCGAATTCCCTTCTGACCCCCGTCCCCGCCCCCGATTGATTTTGGGCTAACTTATTTGGGCTAAAATAAATTCTTGTTTGGGCTAAAAGAAATTATTTTTGGGGTAACACATAGATATTTATAACATAATTTTACATGTTACAAACAACTTAAAAACATGTTTTTTGTTGAATTTTTGTACTTAAAAATCATCTTATTGTTTATTATATTTATATAATTAATATACGTCGATTTATACAATTTGTTAACGGGTCCCCACGGGGGTTTCAGGACGGGACTACCAACCCCCACCCCCGCCCCTGAAATTAAAACGGGGGTTAACCTTGCCCCCGCCCCCGCCCCGATCCCCGATTTTTTTCGACAAATGCCCCCATACGGGACGAGGCCCCTACGGGACTTTTTGACATCCCTAGAAACCCCGACACGCTTTAATATGTCGGCCAAAACATTCCTTAATCATATCGTGCCTGTATTTGAATCCTAGGAGTTGTTTGCAATGAATTGCATTCTCTCCAAAAGAGTCCAAACATATCTTGAGGCACACTGGACATATCTTGTCAGCTGGGAATACTGGAATCATGAGTCGATATTTAAAGATGGTACGATTAGGGATGTCAAAAATCCCCGTGGGACCCCGATACCGTACGGGACTAATTTTTAAAACAATTCAGGAGCGGGAGTGGGGGCGATATTAACTCCCATTTATTTTCGGGACCGGGACCGGGAGTGAGTATTACCGTCCCGTACTCCCGCGGGGGCCCCGTTTATATTTAAATAAAAAAATATATATTTAATTTAAAATAAGAAATTTTGGCAAGTAGGGCTTGAGTGCTTGAGCTTGACCGCAGACCCCTTGACACGACTTGAACTTTTCTGTGTTCCAAGTTCCAACTTTCATCAATACACAACACAATACTCAATTACATAATTACTCCATAACTCGATTAGACGATTACTCCTTATACGAATGAAGAATTGAAGTCTGAAGAGTGAAGCTGTGAAGACGACTAGGTTCCGAGTGACCGAGTTCCGACCGAGAGCGACAATCTGAGTTCCAACTTCCGACCGACGAATGAAGAATTGAAATCGGAAGAGTGAAGACGAGGCAGCGATTAGTGAACAAGGTAGCGTCCTTTCTTCCCAACTCCCGTAGGCTATTCTTCAGGGGTTTTGCGGTCTTCTGGAAACCATAATGACTATTAATAGTTTTGAAACCAGATTGACCATTTTAAACTTAACCATTATATCCTAGATTTGTGAAAACCACATAGACCGTTTATAGGTTTTGTCAACAGATAATGATATAATAAATTGTAGATGGTCTAAATATACATAAGGCCAATATGGTCTAGATATTCTTATAGTACATGAATGGATGTGTTTCCCCCGGTTTACACACTTATTGATTTAATTTAATGTTGGTTTGATCGTTTTCTGTTTGAAAAGACAAGTTTTACATCAAAGACAGAACACGAACACTAAAGGTAACGGGAACATATATACTTATCTTTTTTCTAGTTAATGATAATGAATATTTTGATTTTTTTAATTTTTTCAAAAATATGATTTAAAAAATTAGAATTGATTACATGTTTTATACACTAGACAAATCATATAAATATACTAAACAAACCATATTAAATATCATCGAATTCATATATGTATTATGGAAATAAAAATAATTATCAATAACAACAAAATAATATATAATAAAGGGTAAATTACACCAATAGTCCCTTGTGTATATGCCAGAAAGCATGTTTAGTCCCTATTTTCAAAATTAACTTGGACCGTCCCTAGGTTTGATTTTTCTTGCACGCTTAGTCCCTATTGACATGAAATGATTGTTTTACCCTGGATTAATTCTTTTTAGATTTTCTTTTATTTCCTTATTTGTTTTAAACAATAAAAAAGAAAATAAACTAAAAATCCACACCCCTCCTTACGACACTTCCGTTCTCCCCTCTTCTCACCTCCTTATTTCTCTGGTAACACCTCGATCTAAAACCCTCCATCTAACACTTCATCGACGACTTCTGATGGTGGGGCACCGGTGAAGAAGGTGATCGTCGACTTCCGATAAAGCATCACCATCGTAGTTTCGCTCAGAAACCTTCTCCTATTTTCTGTAACTCCACTGGCGATCAGCCGATCACGCATCTGCAAATCCGACCTGTAACTCTCAAATACCTAGCCCAAACCGGTGTAAAACACAACCAGTGGCGATGAACGCTCCATCTTCGGCGAACAGGTGGTGACGAAGACGAAGGTTTTCAGTTGAACAAATGTAGACTCAACTGTGGAGCTTCGATTATGACTGTAGAGATAGATGTTTTAAACGAAGATCTGTCGAAACCCTAACCGACGTTAATAGCGGCACACATGTGAGCCGGTGACGATGAGGGTGGGCGTCGAAAGGAGCCTCTGTCAGATTTAGATTAAGAAAGAGGGTAGAGAAAGAGGTCGAAGACCATCGCAGGAGCCTCCGTTAGATCCCGTCGTTTCTGCTAGAGAAGACGAGCACTAGATTCCGATGAAAAAGCTCTAGAACGAAGACCACAACCACCCATCAGAAAGGGGTGATGAATGTTCGTCATATGGTGGAGACGGTGGTGGTGGTCTGCAGTTTGTATGTTGTGTTTGGGTGCTTCTTTCCGATCAGTAACAATGAAGGGATGGATGGGTTGGGGAAAATGAAGGGGAGGGGGTTTATTTTATTTTTTTAATTGAAATTCATAATAAAAACATTAAATTAATTTAAAAAATAAAATATAAGGGTATTATGGTCATTTTAAATTAGGCATGGACTAAGTTTGCAACAAAATCGTCTTTCAGGGATGAAGCGTGTAAGGTTAAAACAAACAAGGGATGGTCCGAGTTAATTTTTGAAAATAGGGACTAAACACGCTTTCTGACATGTACACGAGGGACGAATGGTGTAATTTACCCTATAATAAACAACATATGATATAAAATAAAGCAAAATATATTCATATAAAAAATTTAGGTTAACAAAAGCGATAAATCACCCAATTTCAAAGTTATGAGCCGGTCGGTGGAGAAAGTTAAAAAGGTGGGCAAGAACACAAACATGAAATAAGGTTGGGAGACGCCGAGAGCTAACCGTCGGCAAGCAATGTGATGACAGACGAGAGCCGAAGAGGGCGAACGCCATGAGGCGGTGGCGCAACACAGCACAATTGAGGAGAGACTGAAGACGAGTGGTGGCTGAGAAGTAGCTGTACAGTGAACAGAGAGTCGAAAATGGTCTAGCCCTTTGACGCTTATGGCTTTTTGATTCTTCGAGTTTGCAGTCTTCTCGATTTTATGTTTTTACCAATTTGATTCACGTCTATTTTTAATATTTTGTGCAACATCTACTCCGTGAACTACAATCCACATTGTATATAACTTTTTTGGAAATTTATTAAATTCCTTCTGGGGTAATTTTTTGAGAATTTATTGAACTCCTTCTGTGGCACAATTCTATCGAATTCATTTTTTTGGGAATTTATTGAACTCCTTTTGGGAATGAACGATTCTATCGGATTTACTTATTATTTAGGTGTGTTTGGCTAAGCTTATTTCTTATAAGCTCAGACTTATTTTTCAATTTAAGACTTATTATGACTTAAAAATAAACCCATCTCATGCAAAACTTATAACTTAAAAAAATTAAGGTTGAAAAACCCATCTCCTGAAAAACTTATAAAAAATAAGCTGGCAAGATAAGCCACTTGATAAGTTTAGCCAAACACCCCTTGGTTCTTTTTTTCTCCAAACTTCTTTGGATTAATATTACACCTATAAAGAACCCAGTTAGAACAGTAATCTGCTGAACTAAAATATTAGTTGGTTTTGTGAACTCTTTTTTCAACTGATCGATTCCGCCCAGCATTGCACTTCTAAAAATGTATAATGAAAATGAAGGCAAGTCGAATCTACCGATCAAAAGATGACAAATCCCACAGTTGATTATATAATTTACAATATTGAGAATTAAATACTGATGTTGATTTAGTTAGTTAACTCCACTCTGATACGCCGGGTCACAGAACTCCCCTCCAAGATCATCGCAAGCCTCTGCAATAAACACCCTGTAGAAAAAGAATATTAAGGTCCATTTATATATAAACATTGACACAATTAAAGAGTTGAGAATCACAGATCGATGTTACGTGTTGGGACTGTTGTACTCGAGATACTCTCTATCAACTTGTTCTGAAGTGGGAGGATCAAGCTTGGGGTCGGGTTGTTGTTTGATCTTGGTCTCCGGGAACATCTCAACATCACAAGCATCACCACCTAGAGTCTCGCATGCTTCTGCTGGGAAAACTCTGTGCATTGAAGAAACATAAATCCATATGGATTCATTACTATTTAACAAATTGAGGGATAGGGAGGCAGCATACGTACGATGAGGCCATGGAGCTGTAATCGAACTGAGAATTATTGTCAGATGGTGCTGCTTTGATTGAATTTGAGAGAGATGATGATGTTTGACGAAGTTGACGTTTGGTAAGTGTAGTAGTATGCAATAATGTCTTTGAGAAACTTGAGGCTTTGGTAGATGGCAATGAGAGGAACGATGTTGAAGGCAAGTAGATGGAAGCCTGCATTTTGGTTGATTGAATTGTGTATGTGTTGATGGAATGGAGGATGATATAGTAGTGGTTCCAGATATATAGCCGGGGCCTCATGGCTAAGGTTTTTTTTTTTTTTTTTAATGGGATAAGGATGAAGTTTGATTTGGATTCTAGTGAAGATATTTTTTGATAAAATTATGTAATGGGTCCTTGTAGTTTGACAAAACGAGTATGATGCGATATCTTGAGGACAATTATGATATATTTTTGTTCCTATTTATTTTTTATCCATGTTAAAAGATAAAATGGTGTCTTAGAATATTATCTTATTTATTTATATATATACTAATTTTAAAGTACAAGATGAATAGTACTCTTTTATGATCGGTAGAGATTTTTTTTTCTTTTTTCTTTTTGGTTTTATGGGTTTTTTTTCCGATTTTTTTTATCCTTTTCCGTTCTTTAAGAGTGTGGTTTCCACGTGAAGGCCAGGGCACACTACTACGTGTTATCTCCTCCTCAGACAACTTACCACCCCCATAGACAACTCACCGCCCCCATGACACTTTTTTCTATGTTTCCAACGCCTCCCATTCTATAATCCACCGTTCTACATTCTTCTCTGCCTTTTGCTCTAATTTTCTCTCAAGCCGGCTCCTCTTCCTTACGACGAACCACTGTTACCCAGGCTCTGCCCGATCTCATTCCTCCTGTTGGTGACGAACGCTTCGGAAATAAGATCTTTATCCTCCCTTCCATTTCATCTTCTTTCTCTTCTACCGCCTCAGTCGATGGGTTCTAGGGTTTGATTTAGGGGGATGGGCTTGACGTTGTTGTTCATCGCAATCGTATGCATGGAATCGACAATTCCAAATCAAAGGTAAACATTCGCATTCTAATTTCCCTAAATTGGTTAGCCGCTCCCAAAAGCATTCAAGTAATCAATTGATTTCTCCACTGCTTCATCTCCGGTTCACTCATGCTACCAGCTTCTTCCAAAGTCCTGTCATATGTCGAATACTACCAGAGGCGACAAACCATTTGTTATTTTCGTTCTTACATGATGGACCGTTCACTGCTAATTCTAATCTTTCCAGGTAACTACCTCAACAAGTGCTAGGATTTTTCAATTTCAGGTGTATCGGGATTGTTTACCAACCGAACAAAAATCAGCGACGAGAGCTGCTTGATTGCTTTAGTTGACCAGTTGAGGCGGTCGGTTGAGGCTGATGAAAGAGATCGACATCAGTGTTGTTTCTGGAATCAGTGTAGGTACGGATCCACTAAGATTTGTGTGTATTATGTTCCAACCTGTTCAATTAGACACACAAATCCAACCCTAATTCCATAATTCTAAATTTTAGTTAACCACCAGTAGATTTCTTCTCATGTTCTATGTAAATTTAACCCGATTTTAATACATATATGAAGCATCTTCTAATTCTGAGTATTGGTCTTTTTTTAAAGCTTTAGTCTGATTGTTATGTCATATTTTATGTTCAATTGAATGGGTGAAGGTTTGGTTTGAAGTTGTAAGTGTTTTCATATCATTGCTAGAGCAACGCAGTCTAGGTGTTCGATGGAATGCCCCTACGAATTTTCAAAAAAACTACTATCGGTTGGTTCATGTTTTCTGTAAGGTTTACACAGAAGAAACTTCTATTTTGAAGTTTATTTTAATTTGATCATTTTTATGAGTAGGTAATTGGAAAAAGGCGTGTTTCACTGGGGCAATTAGGGAATCCCACTTTTCAGATGTTGGTATGCAAGCAAGCGGTTGTCTGTTGCTAGAAACATTGTATCAGGGCTTAATATGATTTCCATGTCTTGTGGGAATGATGTTTCAAGGTACTTACTTCACTTTGCGTTGATTTGTTATCTTTGCTTCTTGATATTGTGGATTCATATCGAGTACCTACTTTGCATTTGCAGGTTGACTTTTTGGTGGTCAAACATTGTTGTACTGAGGGATATGATTACCCAAGCCTTTGGAAATAAACAATCCAATAAGTCGGATGTCACGAATTTAGTTGACGATTGACAAGAAACAAGAACATTCACATCTCAACTTGAGAAAATCGAGTCAGGGATCTTTTCACGAATCATTGAGTCTATTTGGTGCCAGGTACAAAGTCTTTTTTCATTATATACAATAATTTGTGACAAAATTGGCATTAAGGTTGTTAGTAAGTTCTTGTGATCTTATGGATGTGGGTGCAGACTTTGAATCCTAAAATGCTTACAAATGAAGCAAATGCAAAGTTACATGGAGACTTTTCCACTAATCTATGTCAAAATGCTCTTCATGATGCTTTCAAGAGAGTTTGTCCTGTTCGTGCAGGGGGGCATGAATGTGGTTGCCTCTCATTTTTGGCAAGAATGGCAAGTTCGGATGACTTTTTTAGAAGATAAATAGTTGTTGATGCTACTGAAATGAATGAAATAAATTGTCATCAATTTCATTAATATCCTTGAAATTTTAAATGATCAGGTAATGGAACATTATGTTTCCAGACTTGATGTAACCATGTTCAATACAATTCCCCATGATGAAATTCCATCCAATCATGTAATAGATCCTATTAATTGAGTAACAATGTTTCCGGGCACTCTCTGCTCATCGTTGTCTGAATCTTCAGCTAACATGTACCCTTTTAACAAAATCAGGTAAGAATCCTACATGACTTTCGATTGATGACCGACGTACTGTTCACAGATACGGAACAAGAACAAAAGGAGGGTAGCTATGTTGCGATAAGTTGTTATCTTTCCTCTGATTACCTTTCTGCTTCATTATCCCAATTTGTAGAATTTGGATTAGGGTTTTCTGTAACATCAATTTTTAATATTTTAGTGTTCTTTAGTTGCCCAAACATCTGGATATTCTGTGAGTATTCAATGTTGATACTTATTTTCAATTTTTCATAAACAAAAGGTATTTTTTAAAACAAATTGTAATGTGTGTGTGTGTATATATATATATATATATATATATATATATATATATATATATATATTTTTTCAATCCAATAAAATGTCTGGGATACTTCCATTTAGACATGCTCAGATACCAACGTTGACTTACCTGTAAGTATATGTTCATTTGTGTATATATATATATATATATATATATATATATATATATATATATATATATATATATATATATATATATATATTTTCAATCCAATAAAATGTCTGGGATACTTCCATTTAGACATGCTCAGATACCAACGTTGACTTACCTGTAAGTATATGTTCATTTCTCCTAATCTCTCACTCACAGCTGAAAAGTGTAACAATTTCCCATTGATTTCTAATTTTCAGGTATCTAGATCTCAAATCAATTTACTTACAAGCATCTTTATCTGAAACACACTATACTTATAGTTAGATCATGCTTTGTTTCAACTTCAAAGATGCGGAGGCGGTGAAAGGTGGCAGCATAAGATGACACGTACCAATTCTATGTGGCAGAACATAACACGTAGCAAAGGATTAAAAGAAAAGTATAAGTGGTCCATTAGGAACAAATCACTGTTCCTAAGGGTATCAACTTTAACATCCTAAAAATAATTACCTGCTGACAGTGAACTTGAAACTCCTGACAATGAACTTCAAATTGGTATGATTTGTCAGTTAAAAAAAACAAGTAAATACAAGACAAGACAAAATGCTTTCCTTTTGTGCATTCCTATGGCGGATCCAATCCCGCAAAGCGGGAACCTTCCCTAGTTAAAATATAAAACTTGTTACCATTTTATATGAATAAGAAAAAAAAAAATATCACTTTTGGTTAGAAGGATATTTAATTTCTTATCACGATAATATTTAATTATTTATGTGTTTGGTTGTTGTCGTTTTATTTATTGTTTGATTTAGTCATTTATGTTTGAAACATGGTATTTATCTTTTTTGTAATTTATTTTTTATTAATTTTAACATTATTAAATTAAAAAAAAACCCTCCTCCACCCCCACTGTCACTAGCTTCACAAATAGACCTTGAACTGATTTCAAGCCATAATACACACACAAACACGATTTCATATTTACACATACATCTGAAGTGATTTCAAACCTAGATTTAGATATCACACACCTTACGAATTTGATTTCATATTCACACATACCTCTCAAGTGATTTCAAACCTAGATTCAAATACCACACACCTTATGAATTTGAAGAAAGACTATGCCAATTCCGATTTGAGAGATAGATACACAGAGAGAGAGAGAGAGAGAGAGAGAGAGAGAGAGAGAGAGAGAGAGAGAGAGAGAGAGATAATGTATACTTCTTGTTTAGAACTAATGCATGTGTGTTATGATTTGGGAAAGGAGGATGATGTTAGTGATGCATTGTGAAGCCCTTGATCAATGTCCTATAGATCGACACTAGTTGTTTTCATCGGAGGACCATGACATTGGTGGTGGTGAAGGAGAACAATACCAATTTCTTCTACTCCAGCGACAACGGCCGAAACTCGGTCATGCTGCTGGTGACTATGATGCAAGGGAAGAAGAATGAGAGGCTGATAAAAGAGGTAAGTGGCATAAGTGGGATAGAGGGTAAGTGGGCTCGAAGGTGTTGCCGTGTTGGGTAGGGATGTTAACGTTTATTAATTATTTTTTTAAGAATTTAATTTAGTTAAAAATATATAAAAATGATAAAAACAAACCACACATGAAATCAAACCACGGAAACCAAATACTTCGAGGTTAGGAATATCATAATTGTCATCACCATGCATGTTTTAACAAACCATATGGACCAATTGGATAATTTTGTGTAGTAAGTTGACCTAGTACTAATTTACCAACAGATTACACGAATTTTAAAAAATATATATACTAGTAAATAGACCTAGTACTAACTTACCAACAGAATTTAAAAAATATATATATATATATATATATATATATATATATATATATATATATATATATATATCTTTACTATCTTATAAAAGAAATCTTACTATTTCTAAAAATAAATTGAATATAATAATATTATTTTTTAAGACGTTCAACTCATTAAGCTAATAGTACAAGGAGTCATCAATAAAATAATATTAAATTTTAACTTGTGTTTTGAATCCTTATATTTCTCAACAAATTCTATCTCCTTCCTTGAATTTCGGATGATTCAAAATTTTAAACCATTAGAAAATACATGTGGATTCAAATATCCCTCCTGCAGATGGTTCTTTCTTAACAGGTTTTTATTTTAATCCTTACTTGTAATTGATTTCATCATTTTTAACTTTTTGTATTTTTATCTTATAAATATATTGGGTGAAGGCTTTATTACATCAGGTTTGTTCCTAATAAGGTTTTTACTATGTTTCTTTAATGTGTTGGTTTTGCAGGTTCAAAGAACTCAACCAAGAGAGCCAGTTAGAGTATTGTATTATCATTTGTTTGTATATTTTGGATCTTTTGCAATAAAGAACGGTTAAACACAAGATTTGACATGATTAAGGTAGTTTGTATATTTTTCATCTTGTTTAGTCTAAAAATGAAACCTTTTACATCATTGGTCCTTATAATATCAAGTTTCATCATATAGACTTCCTGATTACGGTGATTATTGTCCTTATTATAAGGTTCTGTATAGATTTTGTTCAATATTTTAAGGTTTCGAGAACCTAAATCAATATGAATCCTTGAATTACATACCATCGTTGAAAATGTTTTAATTTGTGACCAAACTTTGTTTAAAATCACAATGAACAAGTTGATACCTGAGTATTTTGGCATTCTTAAAGGCCTATTTATCGACTTTTAAATCATAACACCTGATATTCTAAAGGTTTATTTTTATAAACTATTATTTATATATTTTAACATTTTACTTAGTAGGACATTAAATTAATAAAGGAATTAAGGAAAACGAAAAAAAAAAAAAAAATAACGATAAACACTACAAATGGTTTGGGTATGTATAAATGGAAGTAATAACCATTTAGGGGGTGTTTGGCAAAAAAACTTATTGCTTATTAGTTTATTAGCTTATAAGTTAATAAGTAAGTGTAGAGTAACTTATGAAAAAATAACGTATTAGAGGTTCCCCACCGGAATAAGTTATTTTAATCCAAACACTTTTTTAACTTATAGTGATGTGGAACCTAATAAGCTGTTTTAGAAAAGCTTAGTCAAACACCCCCTTAATATGGTATGGTAATGCTCTTGAAAAATAGATGTCATATAATATTCATTTCTTAAAGTGAACGCAAAATGGTTTTAACTCTAAAGAGATTAAATTATTCGCCGCCCGCCGCTTTACGAGGGTAGGCGGCTAGTATATATATATATATATATATATATATATATACTAGTAAGTTAACCTAAAACCTAGGGTCAATGATGCCAAGCCCAAAAACACCAACAGAAAAAGGAACTAAAGACGGCTCTCCTTTGATCCAGTCCTAGCGGCTATAGCGTCAAAGGGTGAATCAAATTCCACTAAGTCTTTTATATATTAGCAAGGAAAATTGTATGCTCCTATAAATAGGATGCAAGGAATGGTTTGGTCAAGAAAGCAATCAAGAAAAGACACAGACAGACTTTTGATTGTAAGGTAAAGAGAATCTGGTGTGAATAGGAAAAGTTGAAATGTAATGAAAATAAGCAAAACCTAACACAGGCACCACCACCAATCCATCCATAATTGAATTGCATACAACATCTCCCGTGAATCACTAGTAAGTAGCATGAACAAAAACAAATCATTAGGGGGAAGCCATTTTGGTTGCTTTCCATGTACAGAGAGCGATAGCATCAAATTTAAAAAATAAAAAAAAATCAAAAAAAATCAAAAAAAATCAAAAATTCAAAAACTGTGGAGTTGGGTGAGCATGGGAACAAGTTCATCACTGGAAGGTCGATCAGCAGGCATATCTGAGAGACAAACTGCAGCTATTCTTACAGCCATCAACATCTCGTCTTCCTCCATTTCTTCTCCAAGGAGACTCTTATCAAGCGCTTCACGAGCATCATCCCCATTCTCAAGCAGCTGTCTGAACCACATCCCCATATCACCACTACCTGTACTTGTTGCAGCTTCCCCAAACAAGGGATCGCTTGGATCTTTACCTGTTAACAGAATCCCCAATATCACCCCAAAGCTGAAGATGTCACTCTTCTCCGTGTATATACTGCACAACCCAACCATTCACAACCTGGTTATTAGAATAACAGTATCAATTGCCCAATACAACAAACACATTCACAACAGCTACTTCTGTCAGCAACCCCACCCTAGCTACACACAAGCATCAAAAGATAAAACATTAAACACACACTTGAAGACTTGAAATACCTGAAATTTGGCCAAGATTCAGGGGCATTATAGGCTGATGACCTTCCATCAAAAGTGTGCATGATCCTAGCCAAACCACAATCCCCGAGTCTGGGTTCAAAGTCAGCATCTAACATCACATTTGAAGGCTTCAAGTTATAGTGCAAGATTCTAGGCGTGCAAGTAAAATGAAGATACTGAAGGCCTTTGATAATGCCTACTGCAATTCGTAGCCTGGCATCCCACCCAAGTTGCAACTCATTTTCCCTTGCTCTCTTCATGGCATCCTCAAGGCTACCCGTCGGAATGTAATCATAAATCAAACAAAACCTAACAGATTCACAAAGATATGCCCTTAACATCATCAAATGCCTGTGCCTCAAGTTCGCCAGTATCTCCAGCTCCCTCTGTATCCGTCTATGAGCTTCTGGGGACCCGGACCCGGACCCGATTACAAAAGGCTCAACCTTCTTCACTGCAATTCTCAACCCATTGTCGAGTACGGCCATATAGTATTTTCCATTTGGATTCGAACCAAGCACCTGGCTTTCATTTTCATTTGCTACAGCTGATTGTAGGGTCTTCGGAGAGATTTCAGGTGAAAATACAACCGGGCCCTTGAGGATAGGAACTCTTTTCATATATATGAACACGCATCTTACAAGGCAAGCACAAACAACAGCACAAACTAATCCGGTTATGCTTCCCAACAAGATGCTCAACACAACTCTTTGTAACTTGCCCCTAAATTCTGGACTCCGCTCTGAGGCCGGAGGCGCCGCCGGGATTCGCTTTATCGTTGCACCATGGCATTCCACACAATACGACAACACAAACACAAGCTTCACGAATACTATATATACACTGCTCTTCTTCTCCATGGAAACTAATAAGCATACAAGTCTATCAAGCCCTGGAGCTCTCGGTCAGTCAGTCGGTCAGTAGGACCTAAAAAGAAAAATCTGAAAACCTGCTCAAAGATTCCATTTTTCATCAGAATACAGATGCAAACAAGCTACGAGGGAAAAATGCTCTTCAGAGAGAGAAGAAGCAGAAGAAGAAACAACGAGAGGCTTGATAACAAACAGAAACAGTTGAAAACATTAATCCAAGAAAATGCCGAGTTACCAAAGCATCAGTACTGTGGAAAGGGAGGGGTATGTTTAGTTTAGCAGCTCAAGAGAAGAATAGGAATCTTTGGATTTTCTTTTTACTTGAGGCCAGGGAAGTGGTCAAATAAGCAACGGAAGAAAGATGAAAACTTGAGGGGGAAGCCAGGCGACTTGGAATTGATTCATTCCCTTCTATTATTTGTGGAGGAATAAAACCCACAACCAAATTCTCAGCATTTACAAACTGGGTGGGTGTAATGGAGTGTGAATTCAAAATTTCTTTTTGTTTTGCTTTTTCTTCCCAAACAGGAAGTCAAGTAAAGAGCAAAGAGAAAAGATGTAAAAGGAATAGCAGCAGATTCCAGTGGTAGTCACTGAGTGATAACTGATAAGGGAGGGGTGTACATGTTATTTTAATAATGGGAGAATGATCGATAGATCGATCGATCGATCGATCAACACAATACTGAAATTGAATAATCTAATTATTATTATTATTATTATTATTTTTGCAAACTGACCCTTAGTCCGTAATTGGTTGTTTCGGATCCAATTTTAAATTCGGATAAACGGGTAGATAAATTCTGACCAGGTAATCTAGTAATCTAGTTCTTCTATAAATACAATTTAACATGTTTCAGTCTACACTTTAACATCCCTTCTTTCGGATCACACTTCGATATTCAATTACGGACAAATCTACAACTGAAAATGTTTTCCGAAAGTGAAGAAATACAATTTTTATTTGTAAGTTTAAATTTTTTTTCTAATTAAATGCAATTATTTTTTATTATACGTTAAAAAAAATAGTTTACGCAATTATATAGATATTATAGAGGTTTCTGTGAACTTTATACATGATACATCGTAATCAAAAACCCTAATTTTTGTTAGTCCGAAACATGTTTGGAATTTGAAAATCAAGTCCAGAATCCAAAAATCATATCCGGAATACATTGAACTGGGTCTGGAATTTTGGTCTGAAATACCGTATTTGATTTTCGGATTCCAGAACATACATATACAAATCCTAATTCTGGAATACAATAAAAAAACTCTAATTCCGGAATAAAATCAAAAACCCTAATTCCGCTCTGAAACATACATAAAAAATCTCTAACTAATAATTATTTTGATTGTAGCACGATAGAACATACACAACGACTGTTACTACAACCTGTAGACTTGAACTTAGGCGCGAAATCATGATACGCTTACAAAACCGACGAATTTGTGCGGCAATGTTTAGGCAATCATGTTTTGGTGATTACGTGAACACGCCGATGAGTATTGAATGTCACCCTTTACTATGCCACTATCTTATGTGCAAAAAAGTTACTACTTTTGATTCAATTGACCTAGAAGAACTTCTATTTTTGGTTGGCGACTATCAGGTTTGCTTTCACAGGAAAGCATTATGCTTGGTCACCGACTTGCGGTTCGGAGATTATTTCCATCCCAATTATAATTTTGTAGCATTCAGAGAACACGTGTCTTTCCATTTGTGCCGCTTTCACGTTCGGTGAGTATGGATGACCTTACAAACGTGTTCAATAATTCACTTCATCAATTAAGCAATGAAGACGTGGTGAGAGTCTCCCTGTTGTATATGCTATAACAGATTTTTGGAGAAATACCCGCAACATCGAGTTACTAATGAACGTATGACACTCATCTCTAATATACAAGAATTTAACAGGTATAAGAGTTTTTTACCCACATTATATCAAAATGATACATATACTTATTAAGTGTAATTTTTTAACTAGGTACCCATGGGGCATATTGATATGTGATTTCACTTACAAACAACTGTTTATTGTGTTTGATAAGATTAAGGACCATTTGAACCCAATTGCGGCAAGAATCGACATTAGACACACATATACTCTGCAGGGATTTGTCTATGTATTTGTACACTATATTTAATAAGAGTTTTTTAAATAACAAGTATTGTAAATTTGTTAACTTGGTAAGTTGTTTGTCATCTTAATTTTATAGATTTAGATCTTCGAGACATTTTCCAACAATAGTATTATTGGTTCCCCTATATCCGGTGTTATCCCTCGGGCAATTGCATACCCTAGGATGAGGCGTTTGCATGCACCTGATTGTGAACGTATTCTCGATGCTACTAATGTATGTAGTTTAGTCCACCTTATATTTTATAAGTTGATATGACAAAAATAACTTACAATTAACCTTTGTGTGTGTGTGTGTGTGTATATATATATATATATATATATATATATATATATATATATATAATGCAACGTCCCCCCCCCCCCAAGAGTTGTTTCAGCCTACTATGCATGAATGTGCTGCTAGTTGGTGGATTGAGAGTGTCCAGTTGATAGATGTTGCATATTACGCTAATATTTGAGTTATTGTTTTCTTTGTTAATGTTTTAAACAATTGTCTTTTGAAGATGTAGCAAAAGCACTTTTATCCTTCCGAACAACATTTTGTAGAATATTATGATATCACACATACATCACTACGAGTTTTTAAATCAACAATATCATACTGTTGGCTACCTTTTTAACTAGTATGTTTACTCATAGACCGAACATTATTTTTGTCACTTGACTTGGTCCTAATTGAAGATTCACATTTTGTTGACTCTGTGGGAAATAGAGCGTTAGAGTTTCTGCTTGTGTGACCGATCCTTTGGCAACAACTACATTTTTTTTTTCTAAATCGGACCTTCACCTTAGGATGGAATACTGTTATGGTTTTTAGGTCATCCGGTTTGTCATTTGTCCATCAATGGTGGCAAAACAACCATGACTTCATCCGGTTCTTCGTATTCAGCTGGGACTGGGACAAGAAACACAACCTCTACATATGTTGAACGATATGTTTCCATTATGAATTACGATGACACCCATGCACTATAGTGCTGATATCTCAGTTCCTGAATACCGCCATAACATGAGTACAAGGTATACTCGACAATTTCCATTTCCCATACGTGTGGTAACGACTTTCCAAGCTTATTATACCATTTTCATTTGGTCAGTCACCTCATATCTTCTTTGATCAATGTGGTATATCCTAAAACCAGTGATTTGTTGATCCTCTTAACGATGACCTTATCAGCATACTCAGTAACATCTTTTTTCTTTCAGCTATAACAAAAAATTACGTATACGTTGTTATGCATAGTAAATTACACTATAATCATCATTGAACTATTACAATATAGGGAAACACTTACCTCCAACATTATGTCGCTTGCACCACCATTGTTTCATACTTGTTTGAAAGATATCGATCAACATTGTTATTGGTAGTTTCCTTGCGTCTCTTGATAATGCATTGATAGACTTGGCACTGTTTGATGTCATAATATTGTACTGAACCATGGGGAAACACGACCTTGCCCATCTCTTGTTACTGATTCTGTCTAGCCATGTCTGACAATCAATGTTTAGTGCACGACGTAGCCTACTCAAGCTTTCTTTGAAATCAGACTCTCGGTATGCCTTTGCATCCTCCTAAAACAAAATCTTTGTTCTTTCTTACTTGCCGATATGTGTTCTCATATTCATCAACAAATGGCGACAACATAGTCCGTGATATGCATTCAAGAACACGGCTTGAATGACCATTTTAATTGAATTGGCTCTATCTTATATGATAGCCAAAGATGGCATGTCCCTAGTTTTTCCAACACCAAATCTAACAAGAAGTATTTAATTATTACCATCCATGCCTATTGCTAGGAACATGGTGCGTAAGTATTTTCCTTTAAGGTGTGCGACATCAATGATAATAATAGGACGCAAACATCTTTGAAACCCTCGAATCTAAAAAGTAATTAATAATCTAATTAAATCAAACGCTTGTGTATGGACATTAAATATAAAGAAGTAGGTATATAAAATATATTACCACGCAACCTATAGACATGAAAAAGTATTCAAATTGTTTGTCATCACTGGTCTTTATATGTGTAACCGTACCTGGATTCTTCTTCTCCAAGTTGTAACAATATACAGGTAGTCTAATAAAGCTTTCTTTAGGGGTCCCTCTCAATACATTTAGAGAATACATTTTAGCATTCCATGCTTGCCAGTATGAATCATGTACACAAATATGGTCATTTAAAGTTGGTTGAATCTGTTTCCCCGTCAACATATTACTGGTATTATCAGCTAATATGCCCTTGAAGAAGTGAACCAATAACTTTTTGTTGGCTTGTCGGTGATGGGGATGTAGTTGTGTGTTTGAGAAAGTGTGTTTATTTGATAGTTTAACCACTTGAAATGAATCAGTAGTATTATGTTTTGTTACCCTAATCTTCCAGTCACAATTATCCATATAGCAAACAGCTTCAAACCTATCTTTTATAGATTTTTTTCACTTTTTATTGGAAAGCTTCACCAACACTTTTCTTTCTTAAATTAAGCTTAAGTTCTTTGTTTTTGAAGAGTTGGAATAACTTAACATGGGAATAATGGTTGTGTGTTGTGACCCCTTTACAATTTTTTAGCCAATTTGGGCAGTGGTAAAGGATTAGGGATACCCTAATGGGTGGGTTGTGTTTCTTCAGAATTTTTCGTGTTGTGCTGTTTGGGGTTGTGGCAAGGGATCAGTTTCATCTTCTCCATCTTCATGACCATCCCCATTAAATTTATTGCAACTCTAAAATGTTCCACTGGCTCTCCATGTGGAACTATATTACCATCATCAACCAACATCCTTAGTTTTGCCTTATCATCTGTAGATTCATCAACATCAACAGTAAGTTCATCTTGAACAACAACCTTACCTTTAGACCTATAATCACCCCTATATATAGGGACCATGTAAGAAGGAACATGGTTTGTTGTCATAGGTAATAAATTACAAATTTGGTTACTTCCAACACCGAATGAACCATTTCCAGAACGTTTTCCTCGGGAAATTGATTAGTACCACTATTCATAACATTATTAACAACAAAGAATTATACTATGTTAGGAGCCGTAGTAGTAACAAAACTAAAAAAATTATCTAACATCACTATCATCAAAAATTTGCATAACTATATTTGATCCAAGACATTGAAAAGATAAATGAATTTGATTTGTGTGTAACCTAGAATTGGAATCAGCCAATGTAACTAACCCAACAATGTTGATATCGTTGGTTATATCTACACCAAAGCATGTGTAATCTGGAGTAAGATACTACATACATACGTCGATACACTGCCATTACCCTCCATTAGAAACTTGAACTTAGAAAAAACCCATATATGTACTCATTCTGGAACGTCTTTTGAAAGTATCGAACACACAAATATATTAAGAACATGAATGTAATGCATATTTGGAAGAAAAACATAGAAAAACCCTAATTCTATCTCTCCAGAACACCACTCCGAAATATACGAAGTGTCAGATTCCAAACCTCATCTCCACCAACTGGCAACCCCTCCGGAAGAATATCATAAATACTCTGGAATATCATATTCTGGAATACACCTCCGGAACAA